ATGAATGAACATAATAAAAACAAAAAAAAAACAAAAAAAAAACAATGACAAGACAAACAACAACAATGAATAAAAAACAAACAAGAAAACAAAATTTTAAAGCGTATTTGGAATCAAAAAAAAAATTATAGAAATGATTGCAGTTGCTGAATGAGTGATTTTAAAGAAAAAGGCAAACCTGCTTTGTTTGACAAGCTCTTATCTATTTCAGTTTGTTGAATAGCAAATGTGCCAGGGACAGCCATATGTTGTTGATGACTGTGAAAGGGTGGATGAACAGCGTATGATTTACCAGTAGTAGAATGGCCCTGATGACGGTGATTCAATTTAGGACCCGCGGCCAAGACATCCGCATATGATAACTGTCGATTTGGCTGTTTGTTCGAAGATGACTGAATGTAAGGTTGATTCATAAATGAATGATCCATTTGACTTTGCTGTTGACGTCGTTTTCCATTTATAGACTTTGTTGGTGTTCCGTAGATGGCACTCTTTAAATTTCTTGCAAATGACCTAAAACCACGGCGATTCAAGTGCTTATAATCATAAAATAATGAATAATTTGATATATTGTTATTGTGAATGAATTTAATCTGGTTTATTTTGCAGAATCGTTCCATGGCATCATTTACTTCACCGACTTGATTCTGTAAGCTGTCTTGTCGCACTAATAAAGAAGAGTAGATGATTTCTGTTGTTGGAAGGTTTTCTTCAATTTGCTTTAAAATATTAATTGACTCGTCAATGACTTGATTAGCSTTTTTCCTTTCCAAATCATTAGTTCCACAATGAATCAAAACTTGCTTGGGTTGATATTTAATATTCTCTTGAAGTATTTCTTGAGTTTGGTTTAAGTTATATGATTTTCTATGAACAGTTTTGGCGTCAGGATATAATAAATCAGTTTTTATAAATTTCCCGTTTGAGTCAGTTAGAATTAGTAAATCAACTTCTTGTTCGGGATCTGTTTCCGGTGCAGTGTCATCTGAATTTTGGTTCGGAATGTTTGTAAAACGAGCTTGGTCTTCATTACTATGGATTGTATTTTCATGCTTTTGTGCAAGTTCTCTTAGAATAAAAATCTCTCTATTCAAATCTGAATTTTCCGTTTTTCAAAACTTAAAAGTTCTGTGATTTGATCAGTTAGATGAGCTTCGTTTGCTACTAACTGTGTTTGTTGCTCTTGCTGTTTCTTTAGTTGAGATGACAGTTCAGAGATTTTCTTGCTTGCATTATTAATCTCGGTTTCATTGTGGTGGTGTTTGTCATCAAAATTCGTTATCTGCGCTTTGAGTTTATTCTCTAACACCACTAATCGATCTTTGACGTTAAGGACTTCTTGTAAAGACATACGAATGGATTGTATATCATTCTCAAAATCATCTTTAGATTTAATAAAATTGCGTTCCAAATTTGATAAGGTATCAGTCAATGTTTGAACTAATACCGAGTCAACTGGATATTCAATTTCACTGTATCTGTCGTCATCTACTTTGTCGTCTTCGTTTTCTTCTTCAGATGATTCACTTGAAGTTTGACTTTCAATGTCTTCATCTTGATCTTCATCTTGATTAATATCAGCGAGATAGTCAACATAACGTGGGATAAAGGCTTTTATCCATAATTTCAAACGATCTTCTGAGGTCTGAAACCCAACAAGTAGTGCTTTAGGAAAATCCAGATCCAGATCCATTTTCTCAAAGGGTACAGGTTTTGAGCTTGCAGCTTTCGCTTTAAATTCTTCAATCATGTATCGTGATAGTGTCTTATCCGGTTCGGTGAACATTACACGTGTTCGAGAGGAAAGTTCTTCTCGCGAATTCTCGTCCTTTTCTGTATCAAATTGATCCATACTCTCTCAGACGCTTAATAAAACTGTTACGAACAAAAATAACTAGGCCTACCCACGATCTAAACCTCACTGAAGACTACATTATCGAGATTTGTAGGAGCAATCCGAAGCGGACACGTCCGCCATTTTGACATCATAAGCTTGTTTTTACAATACTGTTTAGTCTCGCATGCATTATCACATAGTTTTGACATATAAGCGTGAGTGATGCAACCGATTGCATCACTCTATGTAAACATAAGTGTATCATATAAATTCAAGTGAAGAATATTGTGAAGTAGGTAAAAAGACACGACTCGACCCGACCCGACCTGAATCGAATGAACCGAAATTACAAGCAATAAAGTCTAATATTGAATTGAACCACAACANAAAGCAACTTAATCGCTCTCTGCCCGTTTCTGGACGACGATGGAGTCTTACGAGTTGGTGGACGCCTTGACCTAGCACAGATATCCTACGATCGAAAGCATCCTATTTTGTTGCCGAAACGTCACAGATTGACTGAGCTGATCATTCAATATGAACACTTGAAGAATTTACACGCTGGTCCACAGTTACTCATGGCCACAATTCGTCAAACGTATTGGATCATCGGAGCTCGAGACTTAATCCGACGATTTGTTCACAAGTGTATCGTATGCCGACGGCAACGTGCTGAAACCATGCAACAGATCATGGGATCTCTACCGTCCGATCGCATCACGAGTGGAGCTCGAGCGTTTGTGAACACTGGAGTTGATTTTGCTGGTCCTGTTTCGTTGAAGACTGGTCGTGGACGAGGAAGTAGAACCGAGAAGGCATGGATTGCTCTGTTTGTTTGCTTAGCGGTTAAAGCGGTTCACCTAGAATTGGTTACAAGTCTCAGTACTGAAGCTTTCATCGCAACATTGAAGAGATTCATCGCAAGACGCGGGAAACCGAAGGCTATGTACAGTGACAATGGTACCAATTTCGTTGGCGCTCGCAAAGAACTTCGCCGCCTTATTGCCTCAGAGGAGCACAACGACAAGGTTACAACTTATCTTCAACAAGATAACGTGGAATGGCACTTCATCCCGCAGAGAGGAAGTCACTTTGGAGGCTTGTGGGAGGCGGGGATAAAGAGTATGAAGTATCACCTCCGTAGAGTTCTGGGAAATGTAAGTTTGGCTTATGAAGAGATGTATACTACTCTATGTCAGATTGAAGCTTGTTTGAACTCAAGACCACTCACTCCTCTTTCGTCGAGCCCGACTGATCTTCAACCGCTAACGCCCGGTCATTTTCTGATAACGACACCGCTGAACCAATTGCCAGAAGAGGATTTGTCTGAAGTCAAGGTAAATCGTTTAAACAGATGGCAACACTTAAAGCAGTTACATCAGCATTTTTGGAAAAGATGGTCTAAAGAGTATCTCAATCAGCTTCAACAACGTGTGAAATGGAGGAAAGAGAAAAGAAACCTACAGAAAAATGATTTGGTGATCCTCAAGGAAGAGAACACACCCCCAGCGAAGTGGGTTCTTGGACGTGTAGAAGACCTTCATTTTGGTCAAGATGGAAAGTGCAGAGTTGTCACCGTAAAGACGCAGAATGGAACTTATACCAGACCGATATCAAAATTGGTGTTGATTCTAGAAGAAGATGAATAATTGAACATTTATCGTATAATATTATTGAACATTGAACTTTGAGAACATTTCATTTTTTGTATTATTTTGTTTTTCGAAGCTATAGTGCTTCAAGGCGGGGGCTATGTTTAGTCTCGCATGCATTATCACATAGTTTTGACATATAAGCGTGAGTGATGCAACCGATTGCATCACTCTATGTAAACATAAGTGTATCATATAAATTCAAGTGAAGAATATTGTGAAGTAGGTAAAAAGACACGACTCGACCCGACCCGACCTGAATCGAATGAASCGAAATTACAAGCAATAAAGTCTAATATTGAATTGAACCACAACAAATACAATACAATACGATAAACTTTATTTAAGGAGGGTGACACGGTTATAGAGTTATCTAACACGTGGCCTTCACACTACTGAAACAATTACAAAATATAAGAAATAATATTTACAAATAATGATATAAGATACACAAATTGTGATATATAACTAAGACAAACATTACATAATACATACTATAATCAAAAAAGGGTAAGTGTTTTAGTGACTTACGTTGGTCCATGTACAAAAGACGTCGCTCTTAGAGCGTGAAGTCGGGAGAGCTATTTCGGAAAATTGAGAAAGACTGGATATTGCGCAATTTCATTAAAATCCTAAAGAATTTTTAATAGACAAGTACAATTGAATTCAAAATTTTAATTCACGCTTTTTTATTTCAAAAAATTCATACATTATCTCCCCATTAGGGCGCAAAGGGTTCTTTCCCAAGAACCTTTTCCTCGCGTGTGGTGTAAATGCTCTAAAATTGAGACGGAAGGATTGATTGGTCCGTGAATGGTTGGGTGGAACCCATTACTAGGACCGTGCATGTCCTGTATAGGTGTATATGTTTTGAACTTTGATGACGATTGTTGTATCTTCTTTCGATTTGCAGCAGTCGTACCTTACACTGACGGTAGTTGGTCTTCACTGGTGGGAATTCGTCGTTCTTTGGAAGGGTTGCTATATAACGACCATTTTCAAACTTGACAGTACTTTCGAAGTGTTTGATGGCAAACAGTTCTTCCTTGTTGTAGCTCTTTGATTCGTTTCTTATTATTCCAATTGATTTCAAATCCCAGAATCTTTTCAGGGTCAGGTTCAATTCTGTGTTGGAAGCAGCATGATTTGAAGCTGCACAAGTGGTTGTGCTTCCATTCGGTATTGGTCCAGACACAATCCACCCAAACGTTGAAAGGGAAGCAACTGGTTCACCTGCCTTTCTGCGCACAGTTCTGGCCTTCGTTATCTGGTGATAGTAATCCATTCCTATATCATTCCTATGTCAACTTCTTTATAATTTCGAGGATATTTGTCTGCTAGGTTAAGCTTACGAAGATGGCGGAATTCTCTTACATCCACTGAAACATCATCTAATATTTCACAGACTTTTTAAAGAGCAATTGCTTGGGTGGTCACAGTACTCCTTGGTAGATAGCCGATTGATGGGTGTAGTTCCAAATTCACGCATTCTCGCCACTGCGAGTTTATCTTGTTTCCTCCTATAACTTTGACAGTAACGTTTTCTTTCACTCCAAGTATACCGTAGTTCTCCACAAGGCTCTTGTTGACAAACGATCTGTTTGAACCAGAATCTAGCATCACTCTAACATCTGTAAATTTTCCATCTGGTAGTTTTAGCGTAGCCACCGCCGATTGCAACAACACTGCAGAACGCTTTTCCTCCTTGGCTACATTTGATTGTAAAGGCTTCTGTTCCTTTGATGGGCTTCATGTAACAATTTGTGATGAGTATTCGTCTTACAGACCAGGCAAACTGTATTAGCGTGACAATCTCTTGCAAGATAGCTGTTTTTAGAAAGACATCTCAAACATAGTTTTCTTTCAAAAACGTTCTTTAAAAGTTCCTTGCTCTCAAACTCAAGGAGTTTGTCACAACAGAGTTCAATAATTACTGGATAATTAATTTCCACTTGCTTATCCACTCTGTTTCTAAAGCTCTAACTTCTAACTGATTTCTAAGATATGCAAGCTTTTGTACATTTGAAACACGTGGGTTATCATGTATAGTGGATTTATACAAGTCCCAAAACTCCATCCATTTAAGTGGCGAATTTTGTTAATGCAATCTCCGGTAATTTAATGCCAAAGATTCTTTTCGAGCAACTTCATAGTTTGTTCTTGTATTTTAACCATGTCTAGTAGATTCTTGCTCAACATAGAGAATCCTTGCTCGACAGTAGACATTGATTTTGTTTGAAAATTATCGATAAATTGGTTTAACTCATATAAACGCAATGAATCCCGCTCATTTCTTTCATCTTTCTCATGGTAAAATCGATCAATATCTTCAGAATCACCGTTTTCAATAATAATTTCCTCCATTTGTGAGTCAATTGTTTTCACTTTCATAAACACATCATTCAATTCACTGACATACCACTTCTGTTTAGCGATTTCAGGTTCTTCTACTTCAGTTAACCCTTTCGCTTCATTAAACAATCTTGTGAATTTTCCACGGGTTGGACGTCTTTTCTTCTCCAGACTTTGGTACAGCGAATAATGCTCTTTTGGTTCCTCGTCGACGGCATCATTTTCGTCGGAAACTGTTGAAGCGGACCTTTGGAATGTGCGAGCTATTGGCTCACAAATCTTGATTGTCATAACGCTTCCAAGCGTTTCATCTAGATCGAGGCTCTGTCTAAATGATGTCTTGTTCTTTCTTATCATTGAAAAAACTCGTTCTTCATCAGCATTTGAATTGGGAATGGTCAAGACGAGGAGGGCGATCTTTGATAACTTGGAGAATCTTTTCTGACCATCTGGTCGTACCATCGTATTGAAGTGACTCCAAATAATGTCTGCTGTTAGCTTTGCCATCCCACTCTCAGCTTTTCTAGCTTAGATGACGATCTTAATGTACGACATGGAACATAAGGTTTCAGTAGGTCAACTTCCTCGCTCAATTCATTAATCTGTACAGATGAACTAAATAGTAACAGGTTTGGGTATCTTCATGAAGAGAAAGCAAACAATAGTGCATTTTACCACTTTACCTTCTAAGGAAATACTGAGGCATCTCTAATGTCATGCTAAAATTTATATAATAACGATAGCATGACAACTCAATGAATACCTGATTTGTAATCTTAATTAGACTGAGGTCGCTGATGCTTGAGGGAGCTTTCACAGCTGAAGGATTAATAAACTTGGATGCAAGAAGCCGAAGGAATCTTTTTATAGACGAATTTACTGAGCCAATAAGGAGTTCTTGTTTTTGAAGGAAAAGTTTGAGCTGCAAGAAGATCTGCAATATTGACTGATAATAAAACAAATAGACCTCAGTCATAGGGTCGGAAAATGCCTGTTTAAGCCTTTTAAATCTTGCGTGTGTGTCATCTTCCTAAAGGAAGTATGATTTTAGCGAAATGTATTGCATATTGCTGACACTTTTTACAGGCCTAACCATCTTGTACTGACATGCTTCAGTATCTTTCTGTAGTCTTGATTACAAAATTCGGTGTATTCGGCAACCACTGAAGTACACGGCGTCGCACTTTTCTTTTACACGAGTCATAACTGAATTGTTCTTTCCCACATTCACATTCGTGTTGTCAACGCCAAATCCTACATAATTCTCCCATGGACTTTTTTAGTACTTAAGACAATCATCTATTGCCGAGAACAGCTCTTGTGCACTAGCACCTGAAGAGAGGCACATGTCCAGAAACGTGGACATACTTTGGCTTGATTAACGTCATATATTCATTATTCGTTATCATTGGATCAATAGCACAGTTCTCATGTTTTTTAAGTCTTTCGTCAACCATGACAATAAAATAGGTATTTGTTCATAGAGTTCAAATAATATACCCTTGAAACAGATAGCTAACTAACTTATAATTCCTAATTGGTTGCTATTTGTTGCCAAAGTTGAATTAGTTAGGAAAATATGCGAGCTGTGACGACTGCGTACGTGATCTAGAGCACTATCTTAAAAACCGCATTAAAACATGAAGTTCTAGCATAAGCAACCTTGTAATTACTCCGTTTATATCTCTTTTCTCGTGTACAAGCACAGAAGCCGGGGTAGAGCGTGAAACATCCGGAAATGCACCACATAAGTGGTCGAGCTTATCTTCTTCCAGAACATATGCCTTTCTAGTAGATTGAACAGGAAGGTCAGGCATAACGAGAAATGTTTCCCGCTCTTTTTCTTTTTGTTTCCATTCCCGGGACTCAGTCCTGACGACTCCCCGATGTAAATCGTGGGATAAATTATTACTAAAGCTTGTATGTAAATGTCGATAAACCACAGTAGGTCTTTGGTCGTGTATTGGCTGCAGTTCGTGCTTTCAATGTTGCCTTTTTCTGGAAGAGTGCCACGAGACTATCAACGCAATTGTAAGAAACTTTACAATTTCTCTCAGTGACTGCAATGGATTGCGTATTTACGATTTAACCAAAATTTCCACCCTTTTCTGTGGTGGATATGCATAACCGAGACAATAAGAACCTCCTTGAGAATTTTCCCCCAACAAACTGGAAAACGACTCAAGCACGTGCGCGAGCGACTGTGAATGGTAAGCATAGTCAGATCCGCGGCAAATTCAAACTTTCAAATTCACGCAAGGCAAATTTATTACATAATAAATAACAAATATCAATTCCAAAAACTAAATTAAAAGCATAGAATAACTTCAACCAATAATATCGTAATATTCTCTATCATTCTGCATAGCTAGAACGCATGCACTTGGGAATGAGCATTTGAAGCTTTCTAGAAAGCATTTCTTGTTTCTCAGCTGTTGTTTACCTCGCGGAACAATAGAGGGAAGTGCCAATCGCTCTTTCGTCAAATGCCGCCTGCATGGCAAGTTTGTCTTAAAAAAAAAGCGAAAACGATCAGCAAATCAATCAGCATCAATCAGCATGTCAGCACAAACAGTTTTAGACGTCGCAGAGGTAGATTTGTCCTAGACGTTGTCACCAAAAATATGACTGTGGCAGATAAAAAACTTGGTAAGCATTAGGTTAAGCATTTGTTGCGGTTTTGCATGCTTTTAATAGTGTGAACAAAAGAAGAAGCGCCTCGAAAAGCCCAAGGATCTCTACGCTGAAGTCAACGAGTTTTCAAAAGGGATTAGCAGCGCCATGCCAGAGATGAATCCTCTTCGATAGATAGATAGATAGATAGATAGTTTTATTCAAATAACTTGGCAGCCAAAAGGCTGAATTACGTTAAAGTTACAATAATTGATATATAAATATATAAATTTGATAAAATTTCATAAATATGTAAAATATAGAATTGAATATATGTACATGTATGATTGATTGTTAAGAAGGCGTATATAGTATTTAATTGAAAGATTGTTATTAAGCAGTGTTATTTCATTGCATTGAAATTTATGAAACTTGACCGTGTTCTTTTGTTGATATCTTGATTTTATTAAAAGATCTTCTATTTCTTAAGTTATAAGGGCAGTTATTATTAGGT